CCTCTTAAGCACATTCAGCTTGCTGAAAAAGTACTTATTGCCTTCAGCCTGTCCTCATCTGACTTGCCTTCTATTCCAAGCCCTTTATCATTGTGGTCACCCGCTTCCGGGTCCTCTCTAAATTCTCCATATCCTTTTGAAAGTGGAGCCCAAAACTGCACACAGTATGCAGATAAGGCCTGACCAGTGCTAAAAAGGCACTGTCACTTCCTGTGTCTTATATATGACGTTGCTGTTAACACAGCCTGAACCCATAATCATCTTTTGTGCAGCCGCACCACACTGCAGACTCACATGGAGTCTGTGATCTACCGAGCCTCTCAGATCCTTCTCCACGACACTGCCATCCAGCCAGGAGTCACCCATTTGGTATCTGTATTTTCATTATTCCCCTTGCAGTGCAGCACCTTGCACTTATCTGAGCTGAACTTTATGCTTTTAGATCCAGCCCAGTGTTCAATCTGTCCGGATCCTTCTGAATTGCTCTCCTGTCCTCCAACACGTTCACAGTCCTTCCCAGTTTCATGTCATCTGCAGACTTGAGCTCAAGAAGCTTTCTGTGCCAGCATCCAAATCATTAATAAGCAGGTTGAACAGCACTGGGCCCAGGACAGACCTCTGTGGGACTCCACTTGAAACTTCCTGACATGCATCTGTTAATAATTACCCTTTGCTGCAGCTATTGAGCCAGTTGTCTAATCAGCTTGTAGTAGTTTTGTCCAGACCACATTTCTCTAATTTGTTTAGGAGAAAGTCATGCAGGACTTTGTCAAAAGCCTTGCTGAAGTCCAGATACATGCTATCCACAGCATTCCCTTCATCTACTTAACTAGTTATCTTGGTGAAGAAGGAAATCAAGTTTGTTTAGCATGCTGATGGCTTGTGATCAGCCTTTCCTCCTCCAGATGCTTGCAAATGGCCTTCCTTAGGGATACACTCCAGTCACTTCCCAGAGGGGCAGAGCATGCTGCACCATGGGGAGAGCACAGGCAGACGTGGCGCAAAAGGGTGGGTGACACCGTGTGCAGGCCAGGCCAGGCTTGACCTAGAGGCAAGTGCTCGCCTGGCCCTTGTGTTGTACATTGGGTCAGGACGACTCGCTCCTGGCACTTCATGGATGCAGAGTGGGGATCCCCCTAAGCCTTCATCGTGGCCAGGCTGTCCCAGCTGCGAGGGGGGAGGGAGAGGTCCCTGTGGCATGGCTCATGGGAAGGCAGCTGGTGTTGGTCTCTGCATGAAAAGGGGTCCCAGGTAACGTGGCCCCTGCTGGGATGGGTGGGATGGAGCTGCGCATACACTGTAGCAAAACCCCTAGCTTTTTCTTTTTCTTTTTTACTTAAAATACATTCCCTCCCTTCCCCAACCGTTTCTGACTTTCTCTCTGCCCTCTCTATCCCTTATAAGTAGTTGTGAGTAGTTATGATAAGTCATAGTTAAGTTAAAAGATAGGATAAGTTTTTGTATGCCACTACTGTAACAAGCCCCTTTTATATTGTCCGTATATCATTGTAAATAATGCTTTTATTTTTTGATTGATTTTTACTGTTTTATATTGTATTCCTATTATGCTTGTATTGATTTTTACTGTTTTATATTGATATTGTATGATTTAGGCCTGTTTCTGTAAGTTGGCCAAAGTAATGCCAAGTCTCCATCTTGTCTTGTCAAGTCTCCATTTTGTATCCCCTGCCGGGGCAGACCCTATTATAATTGTGTTGTAACTGTGACTCATACCTACCCCTCCCATGTAAACTGGTTCCTGGATGAATGAGAGTGAATGAGAGTGCTTGAGACATAACGGTAGCAGACCTAAAAATAGCTCCCGCTGAATG